AACACAAACAAGATGCAACTATCAAACTCATGAAGCCAATGAAGCCACCGGTAGTACAAAACTACAAATGTCGGAATCCATTGAAATCACCACTGCTTGATCACCTCCAAATCTCCAATCGGCCGGCACCCCGCTTCCAAGCTCCATCTCTACTGCCACCGCCTCGCCACGACTAACATCCTCGAATCTGATCTTCGGGTACTCTTGTTACAATTTTCACTGCCGAATAACCTATTTGGTCCTGAGGTAACGAATAACCGATCACGCGAAAAGATGTTATCAATAAAGCTAAATTAGACCTGTAACCCAAGTCAATTCACGACCTTTTTTAAACCCACCAGACACACAATTCAACCTTTCAAAAGTTGGTGTATCATGTTTAAGAGTTGGAATATCCGAATATGTATTCTTATAGGCCCTTTATTCCTATACATCAATAACATTCCTATATCTATTCTTAAATTTAAGCACGTCATTTTTGTATTTATGAAAATCGTTTGATATGAAAAGGAGAATATTAATCGAAATAAGACTAAAAAGATTTGAAAATTCCAAAATATTACTGTCATATTTTTATTCCCAAAATAAGACTAATTACTGTCATATTTTGGCAGTACCATACTTCAAACATGACATTATTTTCCAGTGATTTCAATAATTACTCCTATATTGGGAACAAAAAACATGACAACCCTACTTTGGAATTTTCAAACTGTTTTAGTCCCAGAAACTTTTCCTATGAAAAAAGCACCAATTTGCAGTTTTCTAAAATACACATTTAAATTGATTTCTCTAAAACTATTATTTGAAAACATAGAAGAAGAATCATTTGGCCTAATGCATAGCGACTGGAACCGCATAAAATAGGTCGCACGAGTAAAGAAAATTATGACATTGAATTGCTCTTGTCCTTGTATACGGAAAAGTGTCACAATTTAAGGGTCATGCTTCACTTTAGTTAGCACCACTCACAAAAAGCACGTGAGTAAGTATTATCCTTAAATACAAGTATTATTAAAGGATCACCGTTCCATTAAATGAATAGGTTCAAATTGGGTATGTCATTTTTATAAAAGAAATCGAACTTGAATTTACCTGATGAAATAAAGTGATAACATTCTAAAACTAAATAAGAAAATAAATTAAATAATAATCTGATGAAACAAAAATGTAAAAATAAAAGCCTTGGAATGTAGTAAACAAAATGTCATGCAACAATTGTACAAATTAAATAGCACAAAGCTTCACGGATTAAATATAATTGTACCAAAAGAAGAAATGTAGAAAACTAGACATATATCTTCCATGAACTAAAATAATAAACTACGTAGCACTTAATATATAGTAATTAATTAAGAAGAACTCAATTAGGAACACATTCAAATTAGGTCAGTTTAATTACGGTGAAGTAGATTTTGATATAGTCATCTGGACTATAATGGTTATTTTCATTTTCCATTTCGTTGAGTCGTGTGATTCATTAGAAACCTTACGATATTTCATTATCCTTCCTATTAAGAATCTTAATTATCAAGATCACTTAATCATTAGCTTTAAATATTCTGATCAAATTTTCGCTAGTTAGTTAATTAGATATGTTATTTGCTTATTTATGTATACGGAGTATCGTTCGATCATCTATATAGATATTGGGCTTAATCAGCTATTAAATCGTCAAAACTCTGAATTCATTCATCTTATACTATAATTTTTTCAAAGTATATTCGATCTTCATTCTTTGATTCTAGTTTTGTGTGTGCCTATATTCAGAATATTTTACTAAGCATCAAACTATTTTTACTGCGATTCCGATTTCATCTTATAATTGTTTTGCTTGAGCATCGTTGTAACGTGCATTTCGCACGGTTCATATTCAAAACTTTAGATTTGTGTTGTAATTTATCAACGGTTCATTTCGCACGGTGCATTTCACTTGGTTTGTATTAAAAAACCAAATTGAGGTCAGAGATTAACTCTTAATTTGCTCTTGATCGAATGATCGAATTCAAGTAACCTAGGAGATGATGAATTCATGAGGTTTTTCTCAAAACTGATCTTCTAGCCTCAACGTTAGGTTGAGTGATCGCATAATGAGTACTCCCTCCGTCCCAAAAACAACTTCCCACTTTCCTTAAATGTATGTCCCAAAATTAACTTCACACTTCAATACTTTCCTTATTTGGCAAATTATCTACATAAAAAAAATGATAAACAATGTCAAACTGTCAAACAGTGTTTAAACAGTGCCAGACAGTGTTTATTTAAACAGTGCCAAACAGTGTTTAAATAGTGCAAAACAGTGCACTCTACAGTAGAGTCAAATTTATTTTCTAAAAGTGTGTGAAAGTCAAATCGGGAGGTTGTTTTCAGGACGGATGGAATATTTTTTTCCCCAAAGCAGCAATGTCAGAGTTAGCTTCTTTGGTGAAGATTGTGGTGGGAGTTGGTTGGGTTGGGAAGTACATGACTTTCTTAAGAAGTTGAGAATGAGTTCTTGAGATGAGGTTTTAGGAGTCGGAATTGGTCTAATGAAATTGAGATCGTCGGGTTTAACAAAATACTACTACCTCCGTCCCATAATGGTTGTCTCATTTCAATTTGGCACAATTATTAATAAAGTAGTTGAAAAGTAAAAGTTGTGATTGAGTTTTAAGTAGAATGAAGTGAAATGATATGAACCACAAATTTCTTGCCTAAAAGAAAAACATGACATCCATTTTGGGACAACCCAAAAAGGAGAGTAAGACAACCAAAATGAGACAAAGGAAGTACTACGTAGTAAAAAAAGATCTCATACAACGATGGACACAAAGGAGGCCAAGTGGGGGCCACTTCCACCTTCCATTTTTTAACTAGGTATAGCTGTTCTTAAAAAATACTCTGTCCGTCACGCTAAGATTATCTCATTTTTCTTTTCGGTACATCTCACTAAGATTGTTTCATATAAAATCACATAAATCCACTTGTAATGGTATGCATGTCAGCATGTTACTCCCTCTTGTATTATTGTATATATATTACTCCCTATGTCCCGTTGAAAAGTTCGTACTTTTCTTATTTTAGTGTCTCATTTAATGATTTCTATTCTATTTTAAAATATAATTTGCTCTAATGAATTATACATTTATTCAAATTTTTCTTTCTTACTCATTACATGTCAAGTGCTAGAGTTCCCCCTCCCCGACTTATCTTACTTTAATTATTTTAACTTTATATATTTATTTATTTTAAATTTTCTCTTTCATTTTCTTTTTACTCAAATTATTTTACTTAACTACTTCTAAAAAAATCGTGTCATTTATGTCCAGAAACATTCTAATAAATACCCAAAATATATTGGCCAAGCTTAAGATTCTATTCCACTAGCACAATTCTATCGGGGAGATTTCACGTTATCTCTCGTGGGTGAGCGTAGCGGCTGCCCCCACCGGTCCCATCGGCTCCGCCACGGCCGGCCTGTTATGCACGTAAAATTAAACGTGTCCGTTTTCTTTTCCTTGGCCTGTTTTTAGAAAAGGATACTTTTAATTTTACAAAATCTATCATTCCCTTTATCTCGTCCAAACACGTTTTTTGCTGCATTTGAGTGACACAGAAAAATGCGGCTGATTCTATTTATGGCAAAACATTCCTCCTGGCTAGGCTTCTGAATTGTCATTAATTAGGAGACTTACTAATTACTAATTGATTGTGGGTTAATTGTTAATGTTCACTTAGTAGGGTTTTCCATACATATGTCTCTTAATTAGAGCTCACATCCGTCATTTCATAATTAATTAATTGGTGACGGAAGGGATTGGGGTGTTTGGCAATTGGCCTTTAGCTGTTGGCCGTTGGCTTATTATGTTGGCTAGTTGATAATAGCAGATTCTGTTAGCTATTTTGATTAGCCGATAGTATTAGCAGTTCGTAAAATCATGTTTGGTTAAACGACTGTTTACAATCAGCTGATAACTTGTTAAATGACTGTTAAGGACATCAATTAATTTTTAGTTAATGTAATTAATACTTCATATATAATTGCCTAAACTGTTTTATGGTTCAAAAATGTAAAATTTACTTTACATCGATTATTGTTATTATTAATATATTATTATTATTATTATTGTTATTATTATTATTATTTTAACATAAAAGTATGTAGTGCGTACAACTCAGTACATTTTCTTCAATGGACTTGCCGTGCCACAAGACGAAGCAAAATTCATGAAAAAGCTAAAAGAAAAAATACTCCGTATGTTTTATGGACGCTTGCTCTCTTAATTGTTGTTTTTTTCTTTGACCGGCAAGTTAATTAGGATAAAATTTACTTTTGCAGCTTTCTATTTCTCATTGGAATTCGGGTGTGGGCAGTGGGTAATAAAGGAAAATACAGAAAGATGAGAAACGGCCACCCGTAAAACGCTAGGATTTGTGGCTTACAATTGGGCTGCATGGAATAAAAAGTCAAATCAAAAAGCCATTTAATCAAATACCTTGTTAACGGATTAATCTGGTCAAAAGACCAAATGTTAGTCAAATCAGCCAAAAAATGGTTGATAGGCCGCTAAATACAAAATCTTGTGTGGGACATAATGAGACAGTAAGAAAGTAATTTATCAATTTATTGTCAACTATTAATACTTCAAAAACATTAATAGAAGTATAAACCGTATCCCCAAAAATTGATCATGTGTAGTCCAGAATTCGAGATACAATTTATACATATTAGGGACTTATATCCTTTACAAATCACATTATTGGGATGTTTTCTTTTGGACTGTTTTGAGTCTCAGACCAGACCAGATAAGACTATATTAGACTTCCATAGTTACAAAATCCTTACTATACTCCGTTCAGACCAAATCAGACCAGACCAGTAAATTTCAGTCCAAAGAAAACATCCTCACTATACTCCGTATCTACATTAGTTGAATTATCATACCGGAAACTTGTGAAAGCATTAAGTGTTATATTAATATTTGAATTACTCCGGAATCTGAGGTCATAACAATATTTTAAAAAAACAGTTGTTTTCTACAAAATGTATGATTTTTATCCATCCCCTAAAAAAACTATCATTGATAAAGAACAAGATATTCTTAGATAACGGGATTACATGAAGATATACGAAGTACTACGTACTAGTTTGTTTTAAAAATCAGCAAGGACTTTACGAAGGAGTATGCAGTATTTACAAGGTAAACTAGTTGTTTTATGTTAAATACGGAGTAATAATTAATTATGTATTACTATGACGGTGAAGAATAAACCAAATCCAGTGTACGAAAACAAAAATATGTCGAGTAAAAACTAATTTCAAATCCCATAACTACAAATACACCCATTACCCACATGATGAATGACCGGTAGATACTCCCTCCGTTCTTTTTTATTAGTCCTTCTTTCTTTTTTGGGACGTTTTCTTTATTTGTCTTCCTTTCCATTTAAGGAAAGTTTTTACTTTAAATATACTTTTATACCCCAACTTTTATTACCATTACCCCTTTCTCTTTCCTACTTTTTCATTTACCCACTACTCATTACACCTTTTACACTACCCCCACTACTTTCCTCTTAAAACTCGTGCCAAAGCCTAAGAGTACTAATATTAAAGAACGAAGGTAGTATCCTTGTCACGCCCCGGACCTCCCCGGACACGTCGACAACCCGCCGTACAATACGAATAGTCAACCGCAGTCCAACACATTCATATTATACAAGGCGTCATGAATATCATTCACACACAAGTCATCCATAAACAAACATAATAAGTAGTTCATAACGCAGCGGAAAACATTGTTTAAAACAAAAGGGCCACACAGGGCTATTCATGAGCACGCAGGCTCTATAATAAAATATCCATGAGCATGTTTATTAATGTTTAAAATCCGAATGGAGGAAGCACGAACCAAGTCTTCGCCCCTAGATGATCTCTCGAGCAACGAGCACAGGAAGCAAGCTCTAGCCTCAACCTGAAAAATGGTGGTGGGACGCCCCCGAAGGGGTCAGCACTCTATACGGCTATAAAGTGCTGGTGTGGCAGGCATCTAATAGATATACAACAAGTATTTCAAACACAAGACCCTCAATTAGGGTGATAATACAATATAGTGGTAACCCCAAGTTACCTCGTTTGAAAATATACTTACTTTATATAAAAGTCAAGTAGTCGGCCCGTGGGCCCATGTTCATTTAGAAATCGCCATTTCCATTCCCCGTGACTATGAGCCACGACAATTCATAGAGTTCATTACATTACCATTGCATAGCAAGGGCTCGGCCCAACTACATTTCTATGCAATCCTTTATGTCAAGTTCGTTATATTACATTTGCGTCCTATCACATTTGCATAGCAAGGTCTCGGACCAACTACATTTCTATGCAAATCACAATTTACATTCTATCACATTTGCATAGCAAGGTCTCAGACCAACTACATTTCTATGCAAATCACAATTTACATTCTATCACATTTGCATAGCAAGGTCTCAGACCAACTACATTTCTATGCAAATCACAATTTACATCCTATCACATTTGCATAGCAAGGTCTCGGACCAACTACATTTCTATGCAAATCACAATTTACATTCTATCACATTTGCATAGCAAGGTCTCAGACCAACTACATTTCTATGCAAATCACAATTTACATCCTATCACATTTGCATAGCAAGGTCTCGGACCAACTACATTTCTATGCAAATCACAATTTACATGGCAAGGTCTCGGACCAACTACATTTCCATGCAAATCACAATTACATCCTATCACATTTGCATAGCAAGGTCTCGGACCAACTACATTTCTATGCAAATCACAATGTACATGGCAAGGTCTCGGACCAACTACATTTCCATGCAAATCACAAAGTCCGGCTCTAATTCTCCATTATAGTCCAATTCCTAAGCAACCCTATGCCTAGAATTGACATCTCAATAATCTACCTTGGGTCATTCTCAATGACCGCCCATAACATGCCCTTAGTTTCATACTAAGTCATTTTATACACTTGAAGTACATTCAAGTTCATTCCATACAATCCAATACTTAGGATCAATTCTATCAACAATTTCAAATAATCACTAACTAGTATTTTCAATACTATTAAGATTATTGTCATTATACAAATGTCTTCATTTTGTAATTCTCTACATATTTATAAGTATGTAGCATCAACTTAAATATTCCACTTCAATACATAATATCCATTTATGTATCCACATGTTTAATACATGAGTAAAATTCCTATTCCACAAAATAGTTCATTTATAACTCATTTAATCTCATATTATACATACATCCTCAAATCATTTCCAATTTCATTCTTTGGGAACCATATCAATATTTCATCAATATTTAATCATCATAATCCATGAAAAATTATGATTTAGGCATTTAGGTAATCTCATGCTTAACCTACAAGTTGTAAGCAATTAGATGTCGATCCTCACCTCAAATGAGCTTTAAACTATTCCTTCTTGATCCAATGACCAAAGCCTCGGCCAAGGAAGTTTGAGAACTGATTCCTTGCTTAAAAATGAGTGTTAAACAGCCTCCTCGAGGTGCTTGCTCAACTCCTAACCGAAGACACGAAAACAGTCCCTAGAACGGGTGTTTTCAGACAAATTCGTCCCCTAACCTTTCAAGGTTTTGTCTAGGTTAGTATCTAACATTTCCAACAATTAAAGTCACTATATAATAGCATCTTATACCATTCAACCAGTTTATAATAGCTCTTAAATCATTGATACGATTTAGACAATAGAGAGGAAGGTTTTGGATTCAAACTTACTTTGAATACAAAAACGTATTCTGCAAGGTTGCGTTTTGTTCGGACGATTTGGAGGCCTTAAACTGCTCCGTTTCCTTCAAACCGCATGTCTATGGATTCCTCTTCTTGAGAGCTTTCAGTGGACACCTCACACGCCCCTTTTGGATGAGTATTTCTCAAGATACGAACCAAACAGTGAGCTCCACGAACTGGAGATTAACCCTGCGGCCAGCTCCCTTATCTCTTTCTCTTTTGAGTGTGAGGCTCTCCCTTCTTTCTTATCCCTTTCAGTTCGAATGGGGGGTGAGGGGGAGGTGTTTAGGAGCTCTCAAAATGATATCTAAGCATGTGGTTCACAAAAAGAAAGGGTAGGGTGTTTGATTGCAATTAAACATGGTGTGGACCTCCTCTTTTATTTCTTTTTTTGTAATGTTGTAGCTCTCAAGTCAAATGTCCGCCCCACATAGTTGTCTCACCCATTTTTCTTTGTCTTGCAGGTACCAAGGTCATGTGGGATGGTTCCCAAATGACCCCATTCAATTTGGGGTCCAAAATACCTACCAATACTTCCAAAATGAAAAGATGGACCCTATTGTTTTATCCTTGTCATGAGATGTCTTTTTGTACTCCTTATAATTTATGTAGGCCAAGTCAACTTCATAAATCATATTATTGATTCCCAACATGTGTAGGATCATCCCAATAACTTACATGTTGAATATTATAGAAGGAAAATCATACTCCCATTATTTAGCTCAAAAATGTCGAAGATGGGACCATAGGCATTTGTATTCTTCTCTAATCATACTATCACTTATTTTGACATTGTCATTCATATATTGGACTACTAGCCGTGTGGGTCACTCCCGAGTGGGCCTACGATGCCATTCTTGAATACTTGCTATTTTTAGCAGGTTGGGCCCAAAATAATGTTTGGGCCGCCCGACCTTCCTCAAATTGTTTTGAAAGATTATGTAACATTATTTAGATAATGTTGGGCTCTTATGTTCATTAATAAGGCCCAAATAAGTATTTGCAAACCCGACACTAACATACGAGTTTGAACAATACAAAAATCAATCATGCGCTACGTAAAACATTAATTGTTTTACAATTGTTTGGAAATCGAAAATTCAATACATAGAAATTATTTTTTTTTTTATATTGAGTTTTTCAAGGACGTTCGGGTGCGGTGTCACAAGTTCACCCCCCCTTAACAGGAATTTCGTCCCCGAAATTCGCAACTCTACTCAAATAGGGAAGCATACTACTCCCTCATCAAAGCCTCTATTTCCCATGTCCCTTCTTCGACACGATCGCTCTTCCAAAGGACTTTAACCATTGGGACTTCTTTACTCCGCAGTTTCTTCACCTTTCTATCAATGACCTTAATCGGTTGCACAACGTAGTTCACATCCTCACGTTCCTCTACAGGCGGATATACATCCAATTGGGCTCTCAATGCCCTCAAACTAGTCAGCAATGCCCCAGACGAACTCTTCTGACTGAGGGTATTTGCTACAACGTTTTCCTTACCTGGATGGTACTCAATAACTAGATGGTAGTCCTTTATCAACTCCATCCACCGTCTCTGTCTCATGTTTAACTCTTTATGAGTAAATACACACTTCAAGCTCTTATTATCAGTGTGTATGTGACACGTCTCCCCGTAGAGATAGTGTCCCCATATCTTCAATGCAAACACCACTGCTCCCAGCTCTAAATCATGAGTAGGGTAGTTTACCTCATGCCTCTTCAAGTGTCGTGAAGCATAGGCAATTACCCCTCCCATCCGCATCAACACACATCCAACCCCTTGGATGCTCGCATCACTATAGACATCGTGCCCCATACCCTGTTTGGGTAGTGCAAGTACTGGTGCCTCGGTTAACCTCTTCTTCATTTCTAAGAACCCCTTCTCACATTTGTCATCCCACACGAACTTAGCTCCTTTACGAGTGAGCTTCGTCAATGATGATGCCAGAACAGAGGACTTCTCCACAAACTTTCTGTAGTAGCCTGCCAATCCAAGGAAACTACGAATTTCCTTGACGTTCTTTGGCCTCTCCCATTCGGTAATGGCTTCTATCTTCTTGTTATCAACTGCAATTCCCGATCCTGAAACCACGTGCCCGAGGAAGCCAATCTCCTTTAGCCAAATTCACACTTAGAAAATTTGGCATAGAGTTGGTTCTTTCGTAGTGTCTCAAGAACGAGTATCAAGTGCTCTTCATGTTCTTCCTCACTCTTTGAGTAAATCAAGATGTCATCTATGAACACAATCACGAATCGGTCTTGGTACTTATGAAATACTCGGTTCATCAAGTCCATGAATGCCGCCGGGGCGTTTGTTAACCTTAACGACATAACAAGGAATTCAATGGAGATTGGTTTGGTACGAGGCTCGACCTCGATCACAAATTCAATCTCTCTATCAGGTGGAAGCCCCGGTAGGTCTTTAGGGAAGACATCCGGATACTTACAAACCACCCTCACATTATCGATGTTCGTTTCTTCTTTGGTTTTGTCAACCACGTATGCTAGATATGCGTGACATCCCTTTCTCATCATACTTCTCGCTCTCACGGCGGATACGATACAGCTATTTGATCTCCCTCGATCGCCCTCGAAGCGTAGGGTCTCCCCGTCGTTGCCTTCGAGTTCAAGAACCTTCGTGTAGCAATCTACCCTAGCATGGTTCCTTTCTAGCCAATCCATCCCTAGGATTGCATCGAATTCAATCATGCCCAGCGGTACGAAGTCACACGTCAAGGTTTGACCATTAACCTCCACCCCACAAGATGGATAGTAACAAGTTCTTTCCACGTCATCTCCTAGTGGTGTTGATACCACTAAGGTTTTCTTCAATGGTACGGATTGCACCCCCAACCTCTTGGCGAACGCTTCATTCACAAATGAACGTTGCGCCCCGGTATCGATAAGGATTCGCGCATCCTTCCCATTAATCTTTAGTGTTCCTACATTTATAAGTCATGTAAGATACCTTTCCTACCATTCTTACACATTTAGAGAGGTTTATTATGTTCACACATGTGTTAGGGATCAAGAAAAGGTCTTAATGTCGCAAAAACGGTGCGAAAAAAAAAATCGGGTTTCGGCATTCTGGGTGCCAGGCACGGCGTGCCTGGGGTAGGCACGGTCGTGCCTGGCTTGGGAAAAAGCCCTGGGCGCTACTGCCTCCCAGGCACGACGCCAGGCACGGCGTGCCTGAGGCCGTGCCTGGCCCAAAATTTTTTTTTTTTTTTTTTTCTTCTCTTCGGGTGCCACTGCCTTCCAGGCACGATTCCAGGCACGGCGTGCCTTCGGGCGTGCCTGGCCAGCAGTGGCTGTTTCCAGCCCGATTCGGCCTAACTCACCCAGTTTGACCCCGGGGTGGCCCGTACTTAATCCCAACGACGTATATGATCAAAATAAGCCTAGAAATGACCCGAACAAGTGTATTACCTGCGACGGAGTCGGGATTAGCCCGAGCATCAGCCTCGGTCATTGCGTAGACTCTAGCTTGCGTCCTTCCTTGATTCACGGACGGCGCGTCACTCGCGCTTGCTCCCCCTTGCCCCCTGGTTACTTGGGAACCCCCGGCTTGGTTTCTACTTCCCGTAGCCCCGCTACTTGGTCCCGATGACCTTGCCCCACCCAATTGTGGGCAATTCATCTTCAAATGCCCGGCATCCCCACATTGGAAGCATCTAGGAGGGTCACGACACTTACCAAAGTGGCTCCTTTTGCAATTATTGCACCGAGCTACCCCCGAGGTCCGTGATCCTTGTCCATTCGGGCCTTGGTTCCCCCTAGGTGGGGGCGGTGGTGTTCGGAAAGATCCTCCTCCATGGTTTCCCTTTTTATTGGAACCTTGAGGGCCATGACTCTCCCCCTTTCTCTTTTTCGCCTCTTCGGCATCTCTCCTCTTCCTCTCCTCCCATTGTTTCTCCCCTTTCAACCCCTGCTCGACCACTTGGCTAAAGGTCATGTTAGGCAACTGTGTTGCCCTCTCACGCACCTCTAAGTCCAAGGCATCCCAGAAGTGATTTACCATCCGGTTCTCGTCACAGACATACTCCGGTATGAACTCCGCGAGCTCCCTGAATTTGTGTTCAAGTTGCCTCACCGTCATTTTGCCCCCTTGGGTCAGGAGGGTATACTCTCTTCTCTTGGCGTTCACCTCAAAATCAGAATAATATTGGGCAAAGAATTCCTGTCGGAAATTCTCCCAAGTCACCGTGTTGCCATACTTTCCCTTGGCTCCGTCCCACCATGTGGATGCCATCCCTTCAAGCAACCTCACCGCCACCCTTAGCTTAAACTCGGGGGTGAGTTGCATATCAAGGGCTGCTTCGTTCAACCTCTTGATCCATTCCGCGGCGACCGAGATGTCACCCGCTCCGTTGAAGGGTTTGCACCCCAAGTCTCGTGCCTCTTTGAGGTATTTGGAGATCCTTACGATCGGGCCTCCATCACCTCGGCCCTCATGTGGTTCGATATGGGCCCTAGAGTCACCATGACTCCTCTCCCTTGAAGCCCCGCCCGAAGGTTGCCCGGCTCGGCGCCTTCGACGTTCCCTCCTCTCTTCACGCTCACGGTGATATTGTTGGAGTAGTGCCTCAATCCGTGCTAAGGAGCCGTTTTCCTCCTCATCACTTACATCATCATCATCATCATCATCCCCTTCATAAGGGGTTTCAACCGGTTCTGTTTCCGGTCGATAGGTCGAGTCCTCATAGGACCAGTAGCTCTCGTTCTCGGTACTCACATGACCGTCGCTCACGGTCTGTGATCGGCCTCCTCGGCCAGCTCCTCTAGATGCCCTAGAGGTCCTTCGACTGCCCTGTCCAGTCTCCACTGGTACACGGCCAGTCAGGTTTCTCCTAGTAATCCTGCCACCACGGTCCATTTCTGAAAGAAATTTGGAAAGAGTCGTTAGACTCGTATCAATGTCAATTGACGGATAGGTACTTAAGACACATTTTGGCTCGAGTCACCGCCATACCAATTGCTAAGGGTACCATCTTAACAATTAGAGACCTTGCAACCCAAGTACCAAAAGCTCTCCAAGTACAAAACTTCTATGCTCATGGTTTTCAAAATCTTTTCAAGAGAGAATTTTGAGACTTCATTATGAAGTTTATGGACTAAGGCTCTGATACCAACTTAATTGTCACGCCCCGGACCTCCCCGGACACGTCGACAACCCGCCGTACAATACGAATAGTCAACCGCAGTCCAACACATTCATATTATACAAGGCGTCATGAATATCATTCACACACAAGTCATCCATAAACAAACATAATAAGTAGTTCATAACGCAGCGGAAAACATTGTTTAAAACAAAAGGGCCACACAGGGCTATTCATGAGCACGCAGGCTCTATAATAAAATATCCATGAGCATGTTTATTAATGTTTAAAATCCGAATGGAGGAAGCACGAACCAAGTCTTCGCCCCTAGATGATCTCTCGAGCAACGAGCACAGGAAGCAAGCTCTAGCCTCAACCTGAAAAATGGTGGTGGGACGCCCCCGAAGGGGTCAGCACTCTATACGGCTATAAAGTGCTGGTGTGGCAGGCATCTAATAGATATACAACAAGTATTTCAAACACAAGACCCTCAATTAGGGTGATAATACAATATAGTGGTAACCCCAAGTTACCTCGTTTGAAAATATACTTACTTTATATAAAAGTCAAGTAGTCGGCCCGTGGGCCCATGTTCATTTAGAAATCGCCATTTCCATTCCCCGTGACTATGAGCCACGACAATTCATAGAGTTTATTACATTACCATTGCATAGCAAGGGCTCGGCCCAACTACATTTCTATGCAATCCTTTATGTCAAGTTCGTTATATTACATTTGCGTCCTATCACATTTGCATAGCAAGGTCTCGGACCAACTACATTTCTATGCAAATCACAATTTACATTCTATCACATTTGCATAGCAAGGTCTCAGACCAACTACATTTCTATGCAAATCACAATTTACATTCTATCACATTTGCATAGCAAGGTCTCAGACCAACTACATTTCTATGCAAATCACAATTTACATCCTATCACATTTGCATAGCAAGGTCTCGGACCAACTACATTTCTATGCAAATCACAATTTACATTCTATCACATTTGCATAGCAAGGTCTCAGACCAACTACATTTCTATGCAAATCACAATTTACATCCTATCACATTTGCATAGCAAGGTCTCGGACCAACTACATTTCTATGCAAATCACAATTTACATGGCAAGGTCTCGGACCAACTACATTTCCATGCAAATCACAATTACATCCTATCACATTTGCATAGCAAGGTCTCGGACCAACTACATTTCTATGCAAATCACAATGTACATGGCAAGGTCTCGGACCAACTACATTTCCATGCAAATCACAAAGTCCGGCTCTAATTCTCCATTATAGTCCAATTCCTAAGCAACCCTATGCCTAGAATTGACATCTCAATAATCTACCTTGGGTCATTCTCAATGACCGCCCATAACATGCCCTTAGTTTCATACTAAGTCATTTTATACACTTGAAGTACATTCAAGTTCATTCCATACAATCCAATACTTAGGATCAATTCTATCAACAATTTCAAATAATCACTAACTAGTATTTTCAATACTATTAAGATTATTGTCATTATACAAATGTCTTCATTTTGTAATTCTCTACATATTTATAAGTATGTAGCATCAACTTAAATATTCCACTTCAATACATAATATCCATTTATGTATCCACATGTTTAATACATGAGTAAAATTCCTATTCCACAAAATAGTTCATTTATAACTCATTTAATCTCATATTATACATACATCCTCAAATCATTTCCAATTTCATTCTTTGGGAACCATATCAATATTTCATCAATATTTAATCATCATAATCCATGAAAAATTATGATTTAGGCATTTAGGTAATCTCATGCTTAACCTACAAGTTGTAAGCAATTAGATGTCGATCCTCACCTCAAATGAGCTTTAAACTATTCCTTCTTGATCCAATGACCAAAGCCTCGGCCAAGGAAGTTTGAGAACTGATTCCTTGCTTAAAAATGAGTGTTAAACAGCCTCCTCGAGGTGCTTGCTCAACTCCTAACCGAAGACACGAAAACAGTCCCTAGAACGGGTGTTTTCAGACAAATTCGTCCCCTAACCTTTCAAGGTTTTGTCTAGGTTAGTATCTAACATTTCCAACAATTAAAGTCACTATATAATAGCATCTTATACCATTCAACCAGTTTATAATAGCTCTTAAATCATTGATACGATTTAGACAATAGAGAGGAAGGTTTTGGATTCAAACTTACTTTGAATACAAAAACGTATTCTGCAAGGTTGCGTTTTGTTCGGACGATTTGGAGGCCTTAAACTGCTCCGTTTCCTTCAAACCGCATGTCTATGGATTCCTCTTCTTGAGAGCTTTCAGTGGACACCTCACACGCCCCTTTTGGATGAGTATTTCTCAAGATACGAACCAAACAGTGAGCTCCACGAACTGGAGATTAACCCTGCGGCCAGCTCCCTTATCTCTTTCTCTTTTGAGTGTGAGGCTCTCCCTTCTTTCTTATCCCTTTCAGTTCGAATGGGGGGTGAGGGGGAGGTGTTTAGGAGCTCTCAAAATGATATCTAAGCATGTGGTTCACAAAAAGAAAGGGTAGGGTGTTTGATTGCAATTAAACATGGTGTGGACCTCCTCTTTTATTTCTTTTTTTGTAATGTTGTAGCTCTCAAGTCAAATGTCCGCCCCACATAGTTGTCTCACCCATTTTTCTTTGTCTTGCAGGTACCAAGGTCATGTGGGATGGTTCCCAAATGACCCCATTCAATTTGGGGTCCAAAATACCTACCAATACTTCCAAAATGAAAAGATGGACCCTATTGTTTTATCCTTGTCATGAGATGTCTTTTTGTACTCCTTATAATTTATGTAGGCCAAGTCAACTTCATAAATCATATTATTGATTCCCAACATGTGTAGGATCATCCCAATAACTTACATGTTGAATATTATAGAAGGAAAATCATACTCCCATTATTTAGCTCAAAAATGTCGAAGATGGGACCATAGGCATTTGTATTCTTCTCTAATCATACTATCACTTATTTTGACATTGTCATTCATATATTGGACTACTAGCCGTGTGGGTCACTCCCGAGTGGGCCTACGATGCCATTCTTGAATACTTGCTATTTTTAGCAGGTTGGGCCCAAAATAATGTTTGGGCCGCCCGACCTTCCTCAAATTGTTTTGAAAGATTATGTAACATTATTTAGATAATGTTGGGCTCTTATGTTCATTAATAAGGCCCAAATAAGTATTTGCAAACCCGACACTAACATACGAGTTTGAACAATACAAAAATCAATCATGCGCTACGTAAAACATTAATTGTTTTACAATTGTTTGGAAATCGAAAATTCAATACATAGAAATTATTTTTTTTTTTATATTGAGTTTTTCAAGGACGTTCGGGTGCGGTGTCACAATCCTACTATACTTTTTATGAAAATATTGTTAAATTTATCTATAGCGGTAAAAAATAAAATTGTAAATACTCTTTGTGTATTGTTTAATTTGCTATACTTTTTTTTGAAGTATTTTTTGTATGGTACACTCTCCTTATGGTAAATTTTCAATTTTTTATAAGAAGTATTAATTCTTTTTCATACTTTTTCGCTATCTATCCCACTTTTTCTGTGTTATTCATTACTCTTACGGAGTGCTAATTTTTCTTTAAACATTGTGTCAAACTCTATGGTAGCAAGCGATACAATACCACTGTGTTATAGTAAACAATGGAATATGGAGGGAGTATTGGTTAAATATATATCAAAATTGGGAAAATGGAAACTAATAATCCAACCTTTTAGCGGTCTTCTTACAATAATCCAACCTTTTGGTTATTCATGAATAATACAACCTTTGCACCTCATCTTCATTCACTGGTCCCTGATCGGTTGATGACCTGTTATTCCAAGCTATTTTCTTATCTTTGCAAATTATTATACCATAAATCTCATCTTTCACAAAGATAATATTTTGCAAAGATAAGAAAATAACTTGGAATAGTAGGTCATTAACCGACCAGGGACCAATGAATGAAGATGAGGTGCAAAGGATAGATTATTCATGAATAATCAAAAGGTGGGATTATTGAAAGAAGACCGCTAAAAGCTAGGTTGGATTATTAGTTTCCATTTTCTCATCAAAATTTATAATATATGTATATAAACTATAATTCTTAATTCCAACACAAAATTTGATAAAATGATATTAAGAGCCTAACCTAATTTTTTGTTATATCCAAATACTATACTTTTGACTTTGTGCACTTTCGATCTTGTGTAATAGTTACGATAAATAAGGCGGGGTTACTTTTCTAACAAATTAATTTGTTGAAGAGGCTGCTTTAGCTTTTTATAATTTTTTTTCTTTTTATTAACAAAATAAATTTTTATGTAGATCTTTCATAACATGCGCAGTCTTCATCATTTGCAATGGAACCAAAGATTTATTATATTTTAGCATGAGAATATGATGAAATAAAGCAAAATGGTCTACTTGACTGTTTGTGTTCCTTTTCTATGAAACATCAGTCAATCAATACAATTTTAGGCGTGATTTTCACTATGAGTCATACGAAAACAGTCTTTTTGTGCTTAAGTATACGGGTAAGATTGCGTGCATTCGACCCCCTTACCCCATTGTAGGTAAGGATTTAGCCGTGTCAATTCAGCTGACTCTGATAAAATGTTTAATTTGTTTCTTATTTTTTTCATTTTGATATTAATAATAATGACTATTCACTTTATAAGATGAAATATTCATTTTTCAAAAAAAATGAAATATTCATTACTCGGGTATGTTGCAATAGTGGAGATATTTTCATGACATTACAACTTAAAATTGACGTACCTAGGTGTTTGGAATAATTATGTACTCGTATCTATTCTGCATTGTCCTAACTCGAAATAGTTCACACTTTGTCCTTAGTGTACATGCATGTTAGGGACATTCGGAATCCTGTCTTACACAGTGATGAATTAAATCTCATTTGCATTATAACAGTAGATTAGCCTAAGGATACATGGTACGTAGACATTCGATATCCTCTTCTACTACAGTGATAATGGAGCTAACTAGCTAAGTCAAATGTCCTGTAACAGTAGTATAATAGTTTATATCGGGCCTCTTGTACTATTCACGACTCCTTCCTTGCTATAGTAAGCCCTAAGTTCATGTCGATCTCTAACTTTCCTCAAAAAATGCTACTCCCTCCGTCCCTAAATAAACTTCCAACTTTCCCTTTTCGTCTATCCCAATTAAAACTTTCATTTTCCCTTTTTGGTCAGAATTTGTGGTTCACAGCAATTCTTACACATTTCTTTCTCCTCTGCACAACTCTCCACCACACAATACTCACTATCTTAAACTCTGTGCCAAACCTATTTGGAAGATATAATAGGGACGGAGAGAGTATATGAGTTGTACAACTTGTCTGCCTGGGACAGACAAGTATACAAAAAAGGATACACATTTTGTGTACACCTACCAAAACCCAACTTTCCTCTTACGAGCCCTTACCAATATCATCATATTAAATTCTCGTAAATTTCATAATATGCGAAAATTTAGAAGAACCATTAATACCTCAAGTTTATATACTGTATGACTTATGAGCATAAAGTGATAGAGGGTCTGTTTTTGTTTGCCTAAAAAGGGTATTTTTGTTTTTATTAATTTTAAAAATGTTAAAATTAATGTCTTCAAACATATACTTCTCCTTCAATTAATTAAAAACTATAAAGCTAGAAACACGAGATGTTTTATACGATCGATTTATGCATCGTTTTATACATGCAGTATATGAAAAATATTTTTTTGAACACGTTTAACTTTTATTTTCGTATATTTCCGAAATCACTTTTGTTTTGTAACTCCTAAAAACTTATTCTGATTCTAATATTAAACACTTCTCATATACGGATTACGGAGTAATCACTTCAAATGCATAGCAAGAAGCCCAATATAATTTCTTTATCTAAGTGCATGTTTAATTGATAGACATGAGTCACTAACTTTAGCTTTTTATTATTTTAAAAGTCTCTAAAAGTTACTAAAACAAAATGTATCTTGATACGACAATAGTTAAAAGATTTTTCTAAAAAAATACTAGTAAATTCTGTGAGAAACGTACTACATTTTAAGCAGCTTCTGAGGGGAAGTCTATACTCCGTAACTTTTAGCATGACAGTCCACGTCCCGATACCAGAATCGATTGGGCTGGAAAATAAGGTTATAGTACGGGCCCAAGATTGGACTGGTGAGAAACAGGAGTCGGGCCTCCGTTTTGGGATTGCGACCGGTCGCTTTTTTTTTTTTTTTTGCTATGAACCATTGGAAGGGTTGACGTTCATTTAAAACCTTAAAAGGGGCGGATGGAGAAGGGATAAGGGGATTAAAAGTGTATTGAAAATAAATAAAAAAATGCCCTGGCAAGATCCATTAGGGACCGGGACTGTCATGGATTAGGAAATAGAGGTTCCGATCCCAGGCCTCCATTTGTTTTTGCAAAGATGGGCTGGTTCAAGATCGGGACCAGGCCTATACTCCTAGTCACAACAATTTGTTATACTCCCTCCGTATCACATATATCTTCCCACTTCTAAAGTGGGTGAGATTAAGAATAGTGAAAGGAGATATAAATTATTGAGTGTATGATGGGAAGATAATAAAATAGTATGTTGGATTGAAGGATAAATCCAAAAAAAGTGGTTGTAATAGTGTATTATTTTTAAAATTATTGAGGGTATGATGGGAAGATTTAGAAATGGGAAGATATGAATGTTACAGCTAAAAAGGGAAAGTGGAAAGATATGAATGTTACGGAGGGAGTATCAAACAGATGTAAATGAAATTCATTACAATTTAACAATCGATCAAAAAACTTACTATGTAGAAAGTACTACCTCCGTCTCATAATGGTTGTCCACTTTCAATTTGACATGGTTATTAATAAAGTGGTTGAAAAGTAAAAGTGTGGTTGAAATTTGAGTAAAATAAAGTAAAATGATAAAGACCACATATTTCTTGCCAACAAAGGAAACAAGACATTCATTTCGGACAACCAAAAAAAATAGGACAACTAAAATGGGAGGGAGTATCTTTAATTTTCAGCTTGCTTGTGTGAAACGGACAAACATTAGACTGGATTTCATATATGTCTTCTTCATTTATCTTCTATCGTACGATTGAAAACGTGTCAAATTTGCAATAATGACCCGAATTTAGAAATGGGGGAAAACAACACGTATAGAAGAGCATTGAAATTTCCGGATCTATTGAGTACTTGTTGTTGGGATCCCTCCTTAATTGGAGAGGTTCTAGAAAATTCTAGAGCTTTCTAGAGAAGTATAGAATTTTCTAGAACGTTCTGGAGAATCCTAGAGAAGTCTAGAACTCTCTAGAAGCTTGTGGAATAGTGTGGAATCCTCTAGAATATTCTAGAGATGTGTGGAAACTTCCGGAAGCCTATGGAAGAGTATGGAAGGATATGGAAGAGAGTGGAA